AGCAAAATATCATTTAGCCCCCGTTTGGCACCATTTTTTTCTCATTCTCATTCTCATTTTTTTCTCATTCTTCATTTCAACCACACATTATATCAATAAAATAATATTACACATAAACTTAAAAATTCTCTTTACTTTTTAACCACACATTCTTCCATCAATCATTATTCAAAAACACATTTTTCTATTAAAATGGGTGTCAAACACCCTCTCAATTTCTCGTACATCCTATATATTGTCCTTTTCGCTGTATGTTGAAAGAGAACCTTAAGCATTTCTATTGACACTTTAGGCTATTCTCGAATATAGTAGTGACATTGTATCTCTTTCATTTTAAGAAAAAACGAAGGAAAAATTCATACGTATGCACCCATGTTGCATTTTCTTTGTTATAATGGGAAATCGTCAAGTCATGTGGTGATTCAATATTCAGATATTAAGGTGAAGATGTTTTACTAGACGGTGAGTACCGAGCCCAATCCCAATTCCAACTCGAGATTACCTATAAACGTTAGTTTCCACCAAGGTAATTTTTCTTTATGAATAATGTCATTCATCATTAATTGATGGATCAATTTGTTTATTTTTAAAATTTATATGTGGGATTCTGGTCATTTTGATCAAGAGATGGATGGAGTTCTAATTAACCATGTGAGATAAGCCCATATCGTCCTGGCTTTTGTAACGTGTCTATACGAACATCGGGCTTTAGGCAAACTAAACCCCTTGTTCAAAATTAATTCTTTTAAAATTACTTTTTCCATGCTCAATTTCGTATCTAACCTTATTTAAAAAAAAAAAAAAATCATTTTTGACATTCTCCATAGTTTTTTTTTTATTCACAAATTATCAAAGAAAAAAAATCAACTTTCACATGGGCTTATTTTCCAGGCTGCCGACAGAAATATAACTAAAAGCATGTTTGAGCTCCATTATTTGAAAAAAAAAATGATTTTGGAATTGTTTTTTTTTTTAATAATGCGTAATTTAAAAGTAATGAGAATTTTTGAATTTATGTGTAATATTATTTTATTGAGAGTGTATGGTTGATAAGAGGAGAGAAAAAAATGAATTAAAATTTGATGAGGCCAACCATGGGCTATGTATACCGTTAAAATTGAATTTGTGATAGTACTAAATGCATATTTATATGGGATAAGATTGGATAGCAACCAAAGGACTCCAAAAGGAAAGTAGTGAGGCTACTTTGATCACTTTCTACACTTAAAATGATGTCTTTATTTGGAAACTTTCTTATCCCACCCCCCCACCAATCTATGGTGACTGTGGGTGTTTGATGAGGATTAAAATTAGATTTTTAGTAGATGGTTGAAATGTTGTAGGACTCGTGAAAGATGTTGTTAATATTGATAGTTTGACTTTGACTTTGATGAAAATCTGATTTTAATTCGAAACAAACATGGCCATAAGAGTATCACAAAATATATCATCACGTCGAGTTAGTAATTTACATATGTACAACTGTTAAGAGCTAGACATCAAACTTTCATGGGTGAGGCTAACCAATCCATTTTGACACCACTATAGATAAGTTGGAGTCAAATCTCAATCATGAAGAGGTTAAATGGACGTCTTTTTTGGACTTTAGACAAAATATAATTAAAACATTGACTAGAATATGATGTTGGTTGTCAAACTTGGAGTGATAATAGAACTGAAAGGTTCGTAAAGGGCTAAGATTGGAGAACAATCGACAGACTTTCAAAAGGTTCGTAAAGGGCTAAGATTGGATAAAGAACCTTTTAGTCGAAAGAGCTTTACTCATAAACTTACAACTTCATTAAACGGGCAACTTCAGGCCTTGACCATTTGTGTTACAAGAGAATAGCTAATGCAACAGACAAAAGAAAAATATCATCATGAGGAGTTAATGATTTATTTATAAATCCATAATAAATTGTTGTAACCAACTAAAATGAAAAATCCTAATTCATCCTACTTAATTTCTTTGACATGATGGTAGAACTGACATGATGTTATGCTTGACTAAATTATTCTACTCAGTTTGGTCTACAATTGTGATCGAACCATACTTTGATCACTTTCTACACTTAAAATGATGTCTTTATTTGGAAACTTTCTTATCCCACCCCCCCACCAATCTATGGTGACTGTGGGTGTTTGATGAGGATTGAAATTAGATTTTTAGTAGATGGTTGAAAAGTTATAGGACTCGTGAAAGATGTGGTTAATATTGATCGTTTGACTTTGACTTTGATGAAAATCTGATTTTAATTCGAAACAAACAGGGCCATAAGAGTATCACATAATATATCATCATGTCGAGTTAGTAATTTACATATGTACAACTGTTAAGAGCTAGACATCAAACTTTCATGGGTGAGGCTAACCAATCCATTTTGTCACCACTATAGATAAGTTGGAGTCAAATCTCAATCATGAAGAGGTTAAATGGACGTCTTTTTCGGACTTTAGACAAAATATAATTAAAACATTGACTAGAATATGATGTTGGTTGTCAAACTTGGAGTGATAATAGAACTGAAAGGTTCGTAAAGGGCTAAGATTGGAGAACAACCGACAGACTTTCAAAAGGTTCGTAAAGGGCTAAGATTGGATAAAGAACCTTTTAGTCGAAAGAGCTTTACTCATAAACTTACAACTTCATTAAACGGGCAACTCCAGGCCTTGACCATTTGTGTTACAAGAGAATAGCTAATGCAACAGACAAAAGAAAAATATCATCATGAGGAGTTAATGATTTATTTATAAATCAATAATAAATTGTTGTAACCAACTAAAATGAAAAATCCTAATTCATCCTACTTAATTTCTTTGACATGATGGTAGAACTGACATGATGTTATGCTTGACTAAATTATTCTACTCAATTTGGTCTACAATTGTGATCGAACCAATTCCACCAAGAATGGTTTGCGATTGTGGTTCTCACGTGTCATTTATCTGCCATTGAAAGAACTGGGTTCAATTCAACCATTGATGGCATCTGGATAGAAAAATTTGTGGTCTCAGAATGTGGTCAAAAGTTTATCAATTATTTCTTGTTTCCTTCTAGATGTCATCAGTAGCTTTGGCATATTTGCTTGACTTCGCTTACCCTATCGCTGCTCTTTATGCAGCTTCTCGGAACCTTCCAATAAGAGTCGTGTTTGGTTTACATCTTAATGTACATCATTGTTTACACAATCTTACGTGACATTATCTCATTTGACAGTTAATTTTTTTTTCTTTTTTTTTTGTCCAATGATTTTTTGACGGCAACAATTCATGTATCAACAAGTGTGTACAAATGACAGTCCTTCCAATAAACACGTTTTACCATTGAGTTTTGCTACACAAATAGGGTGAGGAGCAAGGGTTAAAAATAGGGGGACGCATGTCAACAATTTAATGGACAGTTTGAAAAAAAAGGCCACACAGTTGCTATCAACACAACGCCTGTCAAAAACCCTATCACCTAACCCGGTTCAAGCAGCACTAATTTTTAGATTTTGCTATTTGTACACCGAGATTAACATCTCGATGTACACCCCCTCACAAAAGTGGTGACCCATATCCAATAAAAAATTCGTGAGCCCCTATCATGAGGGATGTTGTACATCGAAGTGTGAGTTGATATATAACAAAATCCTTATTCTTTAGCATTTCTCTACCCACCTCATCTGCCGTGCACGTTATGTCAAATAACAACGCCTATTCTGTACAAGTTAATAACACTATTTGTCTTCACGAGTAATACTATTATATTTTCGTGAATTAATCTACTCAAACAGGGAAAGAAAACAGACGGAGTTGGCAGTTTGTGATTGAGCGGTTTTTTTTCAAAATTTTCAATCTCCCAATGAATTGCCACCAAGTGTATCTGTTTGCTTTTTCCAGTCTATCTAGCATTGCTCATATTTTCCTTTACCCTCTCTTTCAATTTATATTATTTGAGACTTTGGCACAAACGTTTCCTAACATACTTTACGGACTTAAGGTTATAGTAACAACATTTTAATTTGAAAAAAATCTTTCCTTGCAACATATTTTTGATGATCTGTTTTTCACAAAATTTTCAATACAATAATTCTCTAAAAACATCAATTGTCTGGGCACCCGAATATTGGATTTTGTAATATTCACCAAAAGCATCATACTAATCTTTCAAAATCCAATGATTCTTGTCAAAAAGAATTTTATAATAAAGGTATGTGTCACGTCAGACCTTTGTAATTCTGCCGAACACTATGCTTTCATTTCTTGAAATCCGCCTTCCATAATAATGGAAGGATATCGTCAAAGGTGAACATGACTGAAGAAGTGTAGCTCTGTGAGTAATAGGTGTCTATGATAGAATTGCCATAGACATCGTCAATTTTTTTATCAATAGTTTCTCCTAGTCCATCTAAAACATGATTTCCTTGTTGAAATTCCTCTAGGTCCCAATTTTTCTTGAAGTCTAACAATCATGTCCATAACCCTTCAATATTACACGAACAATAAGCAAAAAATATTGCATGTGACAGCATGTCATGTGGCATCACATAGACATTTTCCTCAAATGGGATACAATATAAAAAGGTTGGGGACTAAAATATCACAGATGAAGGTTGAGGACATGATGACCACACTTGTGAAATATTGGGACTTTGGAGTAATTTACCCATTAAATCCCTGAGCATATTTTCATCATCGGCAAACCGCGCCTCCACTCCCCGCCACATTTTCAACTACCATTCACGTAATAATTAGAACATGTTTGCTGAACCTAAATGTAATTAGGGAAATTCTGTTAATCAATTTTCTCCAACTATAATTCAATGGCAGCTTCATCTCCCAGTTGCTTGCCAATCCAAAACCACAACAGTTGCTATCGGAAATCAAATTTCTTTCACAGCTCAATTACGAGGCCAAAAAATAGTCGATTCACAAAAAAAATTAATGGAATTCGACCGACAAAGCTCTCGTTGTCCTTGGAGAGTAATTATAATGATTACGGGAAGAAAATAAATGTAATGGGGGAAGCAGAGAGCAGGGGAATTGAAGCCAGCAGTGCTGTTAAAGACGACTTGTTCGTGAGCTTCTTTCGCGAATCATGGCCGTATTTTCTGGCACACAGAAACAGCACCTTCGTTCTTCTAATTTCTGCTGAAATAGTTGATAGCCCTCATTTGGATCCCATTCTCATGGCACGTTTTGTTTTAGACTTTTAGTTATTATTTCTCAGATTCCTAGTAATATATTATGTTTATTAGCAGCAAAATCTAAAAGATTGAATTTTGGGGGCATTGTAGAAACTAGAATTTGAGTTGCTTCATAGTAGATTTCTACATTTTCTCTCTGTTTTTCGTATCTTGGAATGTACGTTCCCTTTTACTTGATATTTATTAAACTTTGGATAGGTCGTCTTATCGAACGAATACTTTGGACAGGATATTTCTTTGCTTCATGGACTGGGAATCAAGTTTGTTTTAGTTCCAGGGACCCATGTCCAAATCGACAAGCTTTTGTCTGAAAGAGGTAAGCAAATACCTTGCCAAAGTATCCATTTTAATGTGTCACCAATGATTTTATAAGATCATTAAATTAGTGTGAAGGTATCACCACCTTTTTGGTGTTCACCTATCACTGCCTTGAAAATGTTTTCACTGGTCCACTGTTTAGATTTCTCAGCAGATGGCTAAAAACTCATTGTGCTTTACTTACAGGCCGTGAGCCCAAATATGATGGTCGCTATAGAATCACAGACTTTGATTCTCTCAAGGCTGCAATGGATGCAGCCGGGAGAATTAGTATTATGATTGAGTCAAAGTTATCGCCTGGACCTTCCTTAAGCGGTGTCCGTAGACATGGAGACAATAGTCGGTTGTATGACGGTGTTAGTGTTGCTAGTGGTAATTTCCTAGCAGCTAAGGTGAGAATGCACTTATTCGCTTATTTATTCTTACACCAAGATTTTATGTGCAAATGAAACTGGCTTGTATTTTTGTCCCTTTTGGCAGAGAAGAGGTGTTGTTGATGGAATTGATTACGCGTCAACTGGTGAAGTTAAGAAAATAGATCTTTCTCGCATTCGTGAGAGGCTAGATGAAGATTGTATAGTGCTTCTTAGCAATCTCGGTTATTCAAGTTCTGGAGAAGTATTAAACTGCAAGTATGCTTTATGGCCTTTGATAGGTATTTTGGTTGCCACTGGCATGGTATTTTCATGCATGTATTTACGTTTTGAGTTACTCGACATTTAAATTCATCTAATGTATGTTGCAATGTTCTTAAAGCTCAGTATTATGGAGAGAGATTACTTTATGTTTCGTCTGGGTTAATTAGTCATGAGATTCATGCAACTAGGTGTTTATTACTTTGAGAAGAAATATGTCACTCTATAAATTTCATTGAAACACAACCAAGTTACTTTATGTTACTAAAACACTTTTAGGTGCTTTCACTTTTGTATTTGTATTTGTTCTTTGTCGTGTGCGCTTCATAAGGTGATTTCTGTTGGTGGTTGTCTTGCAAATCAATCTTGTACGGTTCTCTTGCTGCAGCACATATGAAGTTGCTACAGCTTGTGCAATGGCGCTTAGAGCTGAGAAACTTATTTGCATCATAGATGGACCAATTCTGGACGAATGTGGGCGTCTTATTCGATTCTTAACTCTTCAAGATGCAGACATGTTAATTCGAAAGCGAGCTAAGCAAAGTGAGACGGCTGCTAATTATGTAGAAGCAGTTGATCTGGAAGATTTCAACGGTCTTGGATATATTAACTCAAATGGAACAGTCCCATCGCAAAAAGAGGAGGCCTTTACTAAGAGGTATACTCCAATATTTCAGAATGGAGTAGGTTTTGAAAATGGCAATGGACTTTGGTCCAGTGAACAAGGTTTTGCTATTGGAGGTCAAGAAAGGCTGAGTAGATTAAATGGTTACCTTACAGAATTAGCTGCTGCTGCTTTTGTTTGCAGAGTAAGTCCCAGTCATTTAATGACATGATCTACTTATATAGTTGTCCATGGTTTGGTTAAACAAACTAAACTAGATATATGTCCTTGTTTCAAAGTAAGTGCCTTTTTGGCCTTTTGATTTGTTATTGCCAGACATTGTAGTTATTCTATTGGTACCGAATTATTTGATTTGTCAAGACATGCTTGACACAAACAAAAGTAGGGGAAAGATGAGAAGTGTTCTGATTAAATCTTTCCATGTATATGACTTTCAATCGTTTTACTCAGATCTGTCTTATAGCTTGATTCTTTTTCTTACCGTTCAAATTTGAGGTGCCAGGTTCAAGTCCCATTTGGGCTTGGATGTACATGTAATTTGTTGACCATTTTCGATCCTCTATCACCCCCCCCCCCCCCNACTATTGGTGGAGTTTTACTGAAGGAATTGTTTCAAAGAGATGGGGTTGGCACAATGGTGGCCAGGTATGTGAGCGTCTGTGGGGAACTTTTTCTTTACAAGTACCCAGATGTCACCAAACTTTGAGAGAAATTTCATTTTAGTTGCTCACGTTTCCAAACTCATCACTGTAAGTTTCAAGTTGTTCCAAGTCAACAGTGATATGATTCCGTCAAAAAATTTAACACGACCTTTTTATGTGGCAGACAGAATTTCTTACATTGAAAACCTCTTGACATTAGTATGTTGATTTGGGTGGACACATGTAAACTCGTGCTTTTGAAAAGTTACTTTTAACACAATCGTGTGTCATGTGAACACAACTTTTTACAACGTGAGTATGTTGATATGGGTGGACATCATGTAAACTCGTGCTTTTGAAAAGTTACTTTTCACACAATCATGTGTCATGTATACACAACTTTTTACTAGTTGAAAGACACGATTATTGCACAACTAGAGTGACTAAAATGAAACTTAGCTCACAGTTGGGTTGACTTCTAGGGTTTTTTAACCTTTTCTTTACTTTCTCTTAAGCTGGATATGTTATCAGTTTCCAGGAGCTGAATTCGCAACTGGAGCTAAAACTTAGCGACAGATTCTAGTCTTAAGGGGCACTTTCTCATTAATATCTTATTCTTTTCCCACCTATCCCTTGAAGTTCATTCCATTCTTAGTAGGTGACAATTGACAGCAACTTCAAAGAAGGATCAGTGTTTTTTTCAAAAAATTGTGTACTTAATGTAAAATGCACCAATTTTAGCTGAACCTTAAGCGAGTGGATTTTCTGTATCTAGCTCTCCACATTGAGGAGCCGACCACGTTCACCACATATTCCAACTAAAATTAATATATCCCATTATTTATTTGTCGTGTTTATCATTTAAATGAAAACATGCAGGGCTGACACAGATGTTTGGTACAGTGTCTAAATTATGACTGGTGATAAAACATACAACTAATTCATATACGATGTGATATATGAGGTCACAGAGTTAATCCGTACCAAATATTGAGGGTGAATTCTGTTGACTACTTCAATTACTTTATGACAAGTCTGCCATATTTAGGCCTGATGAATGAGTAGAAACAGAACTCTCACCCCCTCCCTATCACTACCTTCCATCATAGACGAGGGCAGAAACTTCTTGTCGATGATCTGATAACTAACACATGAATTTATTCCATCCTCAGCGATCTTTATGAAGGAACCCGAATGGCCAGGGCAACAGATATTTCAGGAATAAAACAACTTTTGCAACCTTTAGAAGAGTCTGGCACATTGATAAGGAGGACTGAGAAAGAGGTTCACTCTCATGCTCTTACATTGTGCTTGCACATTTATGAAATCATCTTTTGTTTGTCCATTGACTATTATTGCTTACTTATGCTGTAGCTACTTGAAGCATTGGATTCATGTATAGTTGTCGAAAGGGAAGGTCAAATCATAGCTTGTGCTGCCCTTTTTCCTTTCTTTGAAGAGAAGAGCGGGGAGGTTGCTGCTATTGCTGTTTCTCCTGATTGTCGTGGCCAAGGACAGGGAGACAAGTTACTTGGTATGATAATTAGTATTTGTCATTTTCGACTTGGCTTTGTGGCCCAAGGTTAATATTTTCAGTACATTTATTCACTGATGAAGACATTAGTTCTTTCATATTTTTGTTTTGTTAGAGCTGTGAAAGAATATATATTTTATTAATCCAGATAACCTGCTTCTCATAATATGCAGGATACCCTGTGCATTCTGCTTCTGTCTTTTCACACTTGTCCTTAGAATAAACGTAGTTTGGTGCTTTTAATTGCTGGTTGTGCTTCTAATCTTCATCCTCTTCACCCCCCCCCCCCCCCCCCCCCACCTTTAAATTCATATATATAATAAGAATAAATTAAATTAAATAACAAAGAAAGACTTCAATTTATGAGGTCTCATAATCAAAATACTGGAGACAGTTTTGCCATTTTATGACAACACTTTCGATACTCCGTATCTGCATGGATGGATGAAAATTCAGGAAGTTATCTGCATGTGTTTGGACGTAGTGTTCTATAGAGTTATATGACCTCCGCATGTGCCAATATAACCTTCTTTAATGTTGAAATGAATGCAGATTACATCGAAAAGAAGGCATCTTCCCTTGGATTGCAAATGCTTTTCTTACTGACAACTCGCACAGCAGACTGGTATTTATCTCTAAACCCAATTGTTACGACATAATATGTGCTGACTGCAGTAAAAATTGGAATAATGACATTTTATTTCCTGCACTTGAATCCACCTAGCGAAAAGGCAGATTTTGGCTTCTATGACTAATAGTTGCCTATAGTTTTCCAGAAAGCTCATGGCTGCCCTTGGATAATCAACCGATAATAAGTGATGTTTTCTAACGTAATTGAGTGCCCAAGTGGATAGCATGGTATGAAATCGGCTCAAATGATTAATTTATTTGTTGGAATAATATCCATCCTTTGGAAAGAAAGATGGTTGAAGTAATTTTCAGAGTTAAAAAGAGGCTGAAAGGAAACCTTGTTTACACTTGTTAGTAATATACTTTATTATCATCTTATCTTCTACCTCCTTTTATTTTCTTGATTAACTATTCCATTAATTTACTAATGCGAAGAAATTCGGAAATATTCCCCATTTATATGCTTGACATGGTCACCTAAGGGAACACGGATTAGTTTTGTGGCCATCGCGTATGCACTACTCCCTGCTGATAATGAATGGTGTTCTCATTTGACAGGTTCGTAAGGCGTGGGTTTTCCGAGTGTTCCATTGAATACATTCCTGAGGTGAGGAGGAGGAAGATCGATCTATCTCGTAAATCTAAATATTATATGAAGAAGCTACTACCTGATAGGAGTGGTATTTGGCTGAATGGTATTTAACCGTGACCCCAACCTGGCTGCTGTTTATCCCTTCAACAAATCGTTTAGTGAGTTCAAATTATAGTTTTGTCAAGAAAAGAGAGTGGAAGGTGATCCACCTTAAAATATTTCACTACATTTCTTATCATGTAAGGATGTAGTATTGGCAAAAGGCCCTTCGCATATCTGCATGCTAAATTGTGTACATCTTTGCACTTCCTCTTATGTTATTGATTTATGTTCCATTTTGCATGTCAATCAGGTGAAATCATATTATCTTAAACAAGTGAAAACAACCGAAAATGAATCAAAACCTTCAAACCTTTTCTGTTTTTTTCCTTCCATTTTGGAGAATTTTTATTGTTTGGTTGGGGGGATGAAAATGCAAATTTCTGATGAAAAGAAGGAAACAGACAGGATAAAAAACAAACTAAATGCATTCCAAAACAGAACAAAAAAGGAAAATGAAATGAATATTTCTCCAGTCCGTCTACAACACACCAAATCAATAGCAAAAGCCATTGAAACTTCTCTCAAGCTAACCAAAAAATAAACGAGAAGAAGAGAAACAATTCACAACAGATTAAATAAGGCAGCAAGACAATCAGCCCAAAAGATGAATGTGCATTGTTATCAACAACAATCTGAAATCCATCTCTTGAGAATTTGAACACAAATTAAATTACTTGAATAGCTTCTTATGCTCAGCTCTTCGATTTAGAATGCTTAACTAGCCATTCAATGACCTGGTCAATGTTGGTTGAGTTCTTACAGGAGATCATATAGCAGCAAACCTCCCTATCTGGAATAGATTTTAAATCCCTGCAGAACATGTCATTTTAAGTAATGAAATCCAATAACAGCACAAGAATATCCGCCACCCTGAACCCACATAGACAGAGGAAAACACGCATGAATGGGGCCATTCATCTACAATCAAAATCAAGCCATCGACTAACCATTGTACGAAAAACAAAAGATAAAGCTGGACACAAATGTAGTCCTGTCTCTACTTACATTTGATCAGTCAAACCCTGCTTGGACAGGGCTTGAGGCTTGTCAATCTTGTTTCCTAGAACCAGCAAAGGAATACCACTGAGTGCCGGTTTGCTCAGCAGGTCATGCAGTTCACTTTTTGAGATACTGACGTTATCATGATCAGCAGCATCAACAACATAACTGCAGACTAATCAACTTAGAAACGACTTATAATATTATCAAGCTATTAAAATCTTAAAACTTAATGTGGAAGCATGGTTTTAACAAAAATCGAGCTTGGCCGTAACCTACAGCCAGAGGTGAAGTTAAATGGATGGGATCCTGGCATTCTGCAGATGATCATTTCCCGAATAAGGATGTACGTGTTTAAGTTTCAGGTTGTGAATCTTTAGAGTAAAACCCGCATGATTGTAGTATAAGACAATGTCACCAATGAAGTGATAAAATGTTACTTTTCAATTGTCATATTTTATTAAGTTGCACAGCAGGGGGCCTTGAATGACTGGATATACATAATTTAGACAGATCCTGATTTTAAAATTTAACCTTTTTAGTGCCATGGAACCAACAATAATTCGTAAAAAATTATATATATGGTGGAGAGAAGTTGCATACACAATAGCAGAAACTGCACGACAGTATCGTTCCCACATACTCCGAAATCTGGGTTGACCACCAAGATCCCACAATTTTATCGTGACATTTCCTTTAGTCACTTTCCGCATATTAAATCCCACCTGAAACACAATACAATATTATCATATCACCACAGACATGAAAGTAATCAGCGATCAGCAAATCAAATCTGATACGGGCATTTAAAAAGACAACTAACCGTAGGGATCATGTCTTCACTATATCCACCAGTCTGAGAAATAAAGCAACAAAGGAAACATTTAATGCTTTGACCAATCACAACTAATATATAAGTGGGTAGCTCCACAAATCTGCAGGACCAGATGATTAAGATCTATTAACTTACAGCAATAACATTTACAAGTGAAGTTTTTCCAGCATTTTGAAGACCTATCAAAGAAAGCTCCATTTCCTGCTTGAAAAAGAGGCTGTAATCGAATAAACAATGTTGTTAGTCAAGTCACATTGTAAAGTAATTTCATACACCAAGGGAAGGGGGAAAACTGCAGTAAAAACATAAGTGTACAAATAATTAAGTATTTATCTGAAGAAAATTTCTTAGAATTTCATACTATGCTCCTGTCAGATAAAGTTCCTAGTCAAAAACACGTTCCTCTCAAAACACTTGATAGAACTCATTTTCCAGAACAGGAGAGAAAAAATATTGAACTGATATGTTATTTTATCATTCGAGGGAATTTAAGTATTAGAGATTTATGGACAATTGTAAATAGGCAAGACAAATCAGTAGCACTTCTGCCAAACTTTTTACACAAACATGTTCAAACTCTAAAGCACTATTCTGTAAGCTAGCTTAGGTCATCATCTAATGAGTTTGGACTGCAGTACATTTTGACAGAGAATTTCAAGTGAAGAGGGAGTACAGCAGCTAAAGTCATAACAAGTTCAGTATAAAAACAAATCAAAAGACAGGCAGACAGACAACTGAGCTCATCTAACTTTCATTAGTTAAAGAAGTAAAAACTGATAAGTCAGTACATGAAACTGTATTTCAGGAATGCTAATAACCCTGAAGCAATAAGCTGGTGAGGCCATCAATATGAACACTGATACTCAGTTCTATACCATGTATTCATTTGCAAATTTTAATAACATAATTGCATGAAACAGATAATTAGTTGGCAAATGATGCTTGAGTAGTTTCTCTTACTTACTTCAATGCTTTCAACTAAATAGCAGTTTACATCACGAGTTTGCTCTAATATGTTATCTGGCTGACTAATAACTAGATTCCCAGACATAGCCTGCACTAATTGTGCATTGTGATACCGTGCAACATTTTTTGTTTGTAAGAACTCAGATGTAAAAAGCATAAAAATGAAGCATTCAAAGACTGAAGAAAATAACATATTTAGTGAAATTCACTGCCAGTCTAAAATCAAGATTAAAGAAAGCCAGATATTTTACAATCCAGACTCTCAATTAGAAAAATGGCAGGTCAAAGTATTACTTTCGTCAACAAGAACTACTACGCATAACCTGGTAAGAATCTTAAGAAACATCACTACAGATCACTGGGGTCAAGCATATTACTGTTATGGTTTGCAATTGCTCTTCTCGGTTTTTATGTAATTTTCTATTGAACTTTGTTATCTTACTTTTGAAACTTCCACGACACTGAACACTCGAGCAGTGCAATTTGGATATTCCATTTCATTCTAATACCGGTAATGGAAGCATTTCCCAACTCAATGATAATGTAAACCATCATGAATTGAATGGTGGATGATCATGATCTACAATAGCATGCATAATTCTAGCATATTTTTAATAGAAGAGGGAATCACTGAGCTATTAGGAATTTAGGAGACAATAAAATTGTAAGAACATGGCTCAGAAGTCCGAATCAAATGTGAAATATTTGCAAAGAAGAATAACCAAGAGAAACCAAGATGAAGAAAAGATAATAGTTAACATGGCAAGAGTAATAACGATTAACACAAAAGGCAAATTTGGGACTTCGTAAATTTACTTGTAACATGGCCACAAGAAAACACCATATAGCCATTAATATGAGCACTGATTGAAATCCTATTCAAGAGCATCTGGTTAAGGTATAATACTATTTTCATTGGACTAGACACAATTTACAAAACAAAATTGCTCAGTAGACACCTGATGCTTTTGTAATTATACCAATACTGATTTGCTGCATCAGCAGTATATTAAAAAAAAAAAAAGAAAAAGAAGAAGCACAAGTAATAGGCATATCTAATATAATAATCCTAAAACAGGGTTAAATGCTTGTCACATACTGAATGCCAAGATTATCTAGCGACACAATTAAAAAAAGGGAATTTTGCGATTAATCCTAACAATTCACTTGAGATAAAAGCAGACAACACAAAGCTACTTAAATTAAATTCCCAAAGAACACCATAAATCCTAAAGAAAAAATTCCTTAGGGAGATGGGAAGAAGAAAACATCAAACAATTAAGAAAAAGTAGATCTCAGCTAGAAATGAGCCCTAATTCCTCAATGTAAAATCAAAAACCTTACGATGTTGAAAAAGCAAATTAACCTACAAATTCTTTTTTCATAGATTACCCGATTCATAACCGTACAAGTTTCATAAGAAAAAAATTACAAAAGTCAATGCTTCAAAGTTTTAATTATGCAAAGGTCTGTTTTGAGAATCGTGGAAGCAAACCTTCGAAGCCAATTAAGAAATGCTTCCCAGATACCCATAGCTTGTCAGCTGCAAAGACGAAAAAGAGAGAGAACAGTTTTCTGAGTTCAAAGAGAGACAGATCTCTCTCTTTTCGTCTTATCTCCAAAAAAGAAGAGATTTGTGGGGTTTGGGTAATATGTTTGATGATTATATTCAAGACTGGAAATTCGAAATTCGCATGTATTCAAATTCAACCATTAAACCGACGAGCAGCCAGTGATGATTAAACGGGCGAAAATCCTGGAACATCTTGGGCCTCAGTTGGGCCAGCTAGATTTCGCTGTATCATCGAATTCGTGGACCAATTATAACGTGGAATTCTACTCTCACTCGCGAGAGGGAGCGTGTTAGTACGCGACTTATGAAATGAGACCGACGCTGTTTCGCCGATGATTATTGGACTGTGAAGTCACGTCGTTTTTTGTTTACTGCTGGAGTTTCGTTCCCTAGCAATGGAACCTCACGTGCAGAACTTGTGCTGATGGCTCATTCTTGGACTCATATGCATAGGACTACTGCTTTGAATAACTGAGTTCAATACATTCTGTTTGGCAGAAAGTCGGGTATTCATTGTTCATTATCAGACAATCACTAATTCGCAAACTTCGTCTTGAAGAACTCAAACCTTATTTTATGAATTATAAAAATCTTTGATTTCAACGCTAGGCATACAGAATCTAATTCACAAAATTT